TTGGCATCTTTGAAGTGAGATTCATCGAAGTCGGCGGCCCAGGCATTCATGTAAAATGTTGTGCCAGCAGGGATCACGGCATCCTCATATTTGATGTCTTTGATGCTGGTCCTTGGCAGGCAAATGGGGATGACGGTGAAGAATCGGAGCACTTCTCGGACGAATGCTGTTACATATGGGACTTTCTCTTCCACTAGACAGCGCTCCCAGGCGTCTCCATCAGGATAAACTTTCATGATTTCTTCATAAGCTCGCTTTTGAATTTCTTGGCCGTGTGGAGAGGAGAGGTAAGCGATTCCCATGATGAGGTTGCCAGGAACAGTATCTAGGCCAGCTGAGACCATGGTCAAGCAGATCGATTTAATTTCATCTTTCACATATTAGCTTGAAAACTCGACCAAGGTCATAGACTACTTACTCTCGTTCAGCTTCGCCTCTGGATCCTTTAAAATGTTGCCCGTGATACACGGCTTGTCTGTTCCCTCATCGATCTGCTTCTTGAGTTTGTTCAATAAGAACGTGAGATATTTATCTCTCCGCTCCCTGTATTCAACCGCTCCGTCACTGGATTTTGGTAGCAGTCTCATCAATGGAATATAATCTTGCCAGTTATTGCTAGTAGATCTGAAATTGCTGATAGCCCGTTCCACATCACAAATTTCTTGTAATAACTCATCATCAATCTTGCCATCGATTCTTGATCCGTAGTTGAGTGTCAATGATGTGTTCAAAGCGAATCGTTGGAAATAGGCGATGGGGTCAATGTCCTTCTTGCCGTTCCCACTATCTTCCAGGAGTTCCTTGATCGAGACATTAGACTCTAAATCGATAATTGGCATATAAGTCTGAACCGCGGGCCGGTTGAGTGCCGTTGCTGCAGCTTTCCGACGCTGTTTGCAGCTCTCATCCCAAGGCGAGGTGCCGATGGTGAAACCTTGGGAACTCGACACAACAGTATGGAAAGTGTGTAGAGTCGGCCTCGAAATTAATGCTGATTGGTTCGTGATCCATAAATGCCGGACGGAGTCAAAAGTGTTTGCAAAGATGATCCGCTGTTCTCCGTTAGATTTGCGCCGGGCTCATCCGCTGGGAGAGACATACCCTATTTCCAAGTCTGACTTGAAATACTGGACCATACTTTTTTGCTAATTGCCCGGCTACTCTCGCATGGCTGCTGCCGAATTGCAGCAGGTTCCCAAAGAGTGGGATACCAGGTATCTCGGGAAGCTTCTTGACCTTCGGAGTATCTGTTCGATTAAGGTAACGGATGAGGAAGAAGATGACGGCAATCAAGGCGATTCCGGTAGTTTGGAGCGACATGGTTGCAATGGAAGCAATCTGAGAGGGAGAAGGAGAGGAAGCATGAACCAACTTGTTATATGTCCGAGTGATGAAGTTACACCAATAAAGGCCCTCCTAAATTATAGCACATAGTCCGCGACTCACGACCCCTCCCTGGTCAGGTGAAAGACTGCATCTAAAATTTAGCCATCATCTCATTGGACGATCGGCCACTCCATCGTCACTTCCCCAGAATGAGGGCGTTTCCATTCCGCACCTCAGTGGGTCGAACAAGTCTGCGGATCTGGCGCAGGAGCATGGAGAAGAGGCGATCAATGTTGGAGCAGGCGTGCAGTGACCCAATGCGGAAGCCAGGGTCAGCGCGGAATTCGTCCGCATCGACCCCGCGTGGCCCCGCATTTCTCCCGACCCTTGCTATGCCGTTCCTGAGAGCTGTTGATAGCTTCAAAATTTCCTCCTGGTCAAGTAACACCCCTCCTCTATGCTCCGTACACTCTCTCGTCCCTCCTTCAAGCTTCACTTCAGAAAATCACACTTCACCATCACAATCAGAACCTTCACTATGGCGCCCCACAAATCCTGGCTCTCCATCCCTTCAGACAGCCATTTCTCCCTCTCCAATATCCCATTCGGAATCATCACTTCCAAATATTCGCAGACCGAAAGGCGCCCAGCAGTAGCAATTGGCGATCACGTCCTTGACCTCCAAGCATTTGCTCAAGGAGACGGCTTCTCAGGCCTACCCTCCCTCAAACCACATCTCTCTGTCTTCTCGCAACCAACACTCAACGCCTTTGCCGCTCTGGGTCAGCCAGTCCACCGCGAAGTGCGCAAATACCTACAAGACCTATTCTCCGACTCCACCTCTCACCCACAAATCCTAAAAGACAATACTACTTTGCAAAAATCTGCTCTCCTCCCAAAACACGAGACGAAAACACACCTGCCGATGCAAATAGGCGACTACACCGATTTCTACGCAGGCGTAAACCACGCTTTTAATGCAGGCAGTTTGTTTCGAGGCCCAGCAAATGCATTGCAGCCAAATTACTACCACATCCCCATCGGGTATCACGGGCGTGCGTCCACGGTCGTGGTTTCAGGAACGCCGATTCGACGACCAAATGGCCAGCTACTGCTTGATCCTACCGCTGACCCAAAGATTCCAACCTTTGGCCCAAGTCGACGTCTAGATATCGAGCTTGAGTTGGGCTGCCTGTTATGTAAAGCGAACCCAATGGGCGATCCGGTGCCGATCAAAGAAGCGGAGCAAAGTATCTTTGGCTTTGTGTTAATGAACGACTGGTCAGCACGCGATATTCAAGCCTGGGAATATGTCCCTCTTGGGCCATTTAACGGGAAAAACTTCGGCACCACGATTTCTGCGTGGGTTGTGCTGTTCGACGCTTTAGAGCCGTATAGAGCGGATAAGCTCCCGAATGAGACGAAGTTGCTGCCGTACTTGGTGGAGGAGAGGAATGATACGGTGTTTGATATAAAATTGGAAGTGGATCTGACGACACCGGATGGAAGTACGACGACGATTTCAAGGGGGACTGGGAAGAACCTCGTATGGAGTTTTCCGCAAATGATTGCGCATCACTCGGTTGGCGGGTGTGCGATGCAGCCGGGTGATTTGCTGGGGAGCGGGACTATCAGTACCAAAGACGACTCTGGATTGGGTAGTTTGCTGGAGATGAGCGCGGGTGGGAAGAAAGAGATTATGTTAGCTGGTATGGATATGAGGAAGTTCTTGAAGGATGGAGATACGATTACTATTCGTGGAGTATGTGGCGGCGAACCAGGTGCTCTGGTAGGATTTGGGGAGTGTGTAGGCACGATTGAAAGTGCGATTCAATTTCCATGATGTATAAAAGTAGTTGATTATTCATAGCGATGCATGGCTTCAAAGAAGCTCTCTTGCTTTTCATCTATTCGTAACTCATACATATCCTTTTCCCGACCTCCCCTTCACTCCCAAAATAGGCACATCAAAACAAGTCTCTCAACTGCCTATACAGCTCCTCATCGCCCCCAAAAACATTGCTTCCAATCCCCGCCAACGCATCTCCATCCGGAATTTGCACATAGCCAGTGCCATTTCCATTCATCCCCTGCCCAACACTCCCCAACGCCGCCTCGAAAAGATTCGTCATCTCATGGCTCATCTGAAATCCATTCATTGGGCTATTTCCATTTCCCAATCCTCCACCATTCAACCCATCCCCGCCGAACGCACTGCCCAACCCAATATCATGCCCCGCAAGCCCAGCCATTGCCAGTGCCGCGGAAGAGTGCGGATCCTCGGCATTCATGTGCCCGTTCCCGGCAACATCGGGGGAAAGGCCGAGCTTCGGACCAACTTCTTTCAGGCCTTTGATTGTCTTCCACAAGCGCTTGCTGACGAAGGATTTCGTGCTGAAGCCCTTGACGAGGTCGAGCGCCATGTAAAACTCCTCGCGGCAGATGGAGCTGAACTGAACGGGTGCGTGGCAACTGGCGAGGAAGATGACTGCTAGGGCGGAGATGAGGAAGTAGTTGAAGCAGACTTGCTGGACACGGTAGATGTCCGAGGTTTGATTCAGGTGGGTGAGCGCGCGGACAGTATCCTTGGCGAGCTCGACGACTTGGCTGGCATGGCCCGGATTCTCCTGGATGGAGGATGCGCTGTGCAAGACTGGACGGTAGATAAGAATACGCATTTGGTTACTCCGTAGATAGAGGAGTATTTGGAGTCGGTGTATGGCTCGTGATGAGTTCTGGGGGGTTCCAGCTGTAGGAAGCTGGAGTTCTCGTGGGATAGTCTTCTGCCATTGAAGGACCTGATAGTCGAGATAGCCAATCTGATCTGTGTTTAGAGTCGGGCTTTGTAAAGGCGAGAAGCAGCAAACAGATTGCCAGACTTTGGATCCAATTCGGCTATATGAGATCATCACGTTGAGGTAAGGAATAGATAATTCCTGTAGAAGCATCAGTATTCAAGGGGATTGAAAATTTGCTTCAGTGCTCACTGGTTCAGGCAAGTTCGGATCAATATCGGAGTCTTGTAAAGCAAAAGGCATGCCTGTACCGAAGCTCCATCGTCCTATTCCCCAGAGAATCAAGTTAGCATACAACAGACGAGTGCATATAGGAAGCAGATTGTCCCAGGACTCTGTTGGACAATGAACTGTCGGTACAGATCCAATGTCCTACAATACCTGATACATTGACAATTGACAAAGTAGAAGACTCTGAAAAGATTGGGCTTACTGTCTAATACGTATATTGACCAAAACAGCTTAATGGCATTAGATCGTTCCTCCTCATCCGTAACCACCTTGAATAGCGAGTCTCTCCGGTGCAAACCAAGCTCAATACACATTCGAGCAACTTGACCAATGATCCGCCAAGCCAAAGCTTCTTCATCACAATGGAAGTGGTACATTGACTATAAGCATTGGTCAGCAAACTGAAGCCTCAAATTCTTGAATAAACAAGCATGAGCAAGGAGAAACAGTAATGAAAAAGAAATCTTGAAATTGCCATTAAAGAAAAGTTATGAAGTCCAAGAGGCTATACACTTTCTTAAAGTCTTTTACAATTCTTCGATCTGCTTTTGCAGAAGATATGCTTGCCTGTGTTCGACGTCGAACCGAAGTCTATTGTTTTGGAAAGGGATGTATGTACCGAAGTAAGGGATTTCAGCAAGAACAAAAGCCTGCTTAGTCTAGTGGTGATGACTCCCTCCGGGCTTCCAAGACGACCAACAATCGTGGGACCGTGAGTGGCAACCTGAGTTCAATCTCAGAGCGGGCATAAGGCATATATGCCCGTCCCTGTTTTCCCTTTTGAAATTATGCAATAAAAAATTCTTTGACAAGTTCTTGTGATGTGCAAACATACGGAATTCTTTACCTACCACAATCACAAGAAGCGGCAGATTTTTAACCTCAATTGCCTCACCATGCAAGATTCGGTCTGCCGCCTCTCTAACACTTTCGAACAAACGGTAACCTATCTCACTCTGACCATTCCCCTCAACTACTGCAGCACAAGCAATCACCATCTTTAGCACCAGCGACTGCTCATCGTTGACTCCTTTTCCTGGCATATTGGGATTCTCCAGTCCAGTCTGCAAGGCCGCATTTATGAAGTTGTAAATGTTGTTTGCATGGATGATTACTTGCTCGATGTTTACCACGGGATACATGAGGCCCATTTCTTCTTCATACACTCTACACAGCCGGATGACTTCCTCCTTGCTTAGAGCCCATATGGGATCACGATCCGGGCGGCCAGCAAGGATTGCTGTAGTTGGTGGTTGCATGCTACGTGGAGAAGCAATTGGTGTTGGATCCTGCGTGATAATTCCTTCATCACCCAGACCTTGATATCCCATATTATGCAGTGTATTTTTGGCAACATCGAGGCTGAAGGCCGAGCTAGTCGGTCCTCGGAATGACGGATGCTTAGGAGCAGGCCGAAATCGATTTGATGGGGAGATTGGTGGAGGCTGAGAGACAGATAGAGAGGATTCGGATGGAGGAACATAACTCATAGCATCTGCGCCTGCGCGCAAAGCATTGAGATTCGCGTACAGATTGTCGACTTGTTCTTGAAGGGAAGCAAGATGCGCGTTCATCTGTTTAAATTCTTCGGACTCTTTGAACCCATTCGAGCAGCAGTTTGGGGCATATTGGCATTCTAGGTTGAGGTTTCCGCATCTTTGGCAAGGAGTGTTTCCATTGCATTTGATCTTGCGCCGCTTGCACTCGTTACTGGATTCCGAGTCAGTCCGAGGCATTGAATTAAACGGTAGATGTACCATGCAATAGAAATGTATCTGTTCCTCTTCGCTCTTGTATGCGTATTTCCATTGGCATCGGTTTCTTCGTTTTTCCTCTTCTTTCCGCTCCCAGGTCCTGCATCCGCGGGACTCTCCGCACTCGAGGATTGACGCTGGCCGTTCATACTGCCGGCTATTGCGATAGGAGAGATCGGAACTATTGGGGTATTGGCGAGGTAATTGAGATCTGTAACTTGATCTTCAAGAATGTTCATAGTCACGCATCATGGAAGGAGACTGTGCTATGAAATTGAGAAGAAACCATTTCGGTCGGCCAGGAAATCTGAGGGTCGAGATGCGGGGGAGATTATTCCCCGCTATGCCTGAAGAAGCATCGCGTCTTCCCCAGCATTTTCGTCTTGCTCACGTGATGTTCAGACTCTTTTCTGTCTTTATACCGTAGTAAATCTTAGGGTGAACAAGCTTGTTGTTTGAAAGGTAAAACTGGATGGATATGAGCCTTCATCAGAGCATATCTTCAGTTTCATCTTCCAAGCTGATGAGCTCTGACAAATACTCGGTTTAGTGAACCTCACTCATTTGCGCCAGTCTTGATGGAAGAGAGAATTTCACAAGATATGATTGGACCTTGTTCAGCAAGTAGCTCCAATGGAGACCTTCCTAACATTTGTAACACAATATTCTCCTTCCCCAAACAATAGTCTGGTGACTTCGCCAATCAAATTTCAACAACTCATCGATCCCACTCTTAAGCTATCACCTCTCAGTTCTGCTTCGGCTTAGGTCTCGGCTTATCCTTGCTTCCCGCAGTGCCTGAGTCCATGTGAGCCAAAGCTCTCTCCATCTCGCTATCGCCAACAATGCCGAATGCTAGGCGCCAAGTCTGAGTAGGGTGGAGGATGACATTTCTCGGGTGCCAGGGAGCGTATTTCTCCGCTGCCTTTCTCGCCTTCAAACGGTCTCCGAATTCGTCGAGTTCATCTTTCCAGTCCTTCTCGGGATTCATGATTACGAGCGTAAAGCTTGATGGTGGTTGATGCGAAGATGGGAAGATGAGTGTGGTGAGAATTAACCAGCGAATATCTCAGAGAGGACCTGAGGTAAAAATAGGGAGTCTAGAATTGCAAGCATGGGCGATTTCCTCCATATTAGTATCTCGTCTCGTCCTCTAGCTCAAATTTTGAACGAGGATTTGAAGCGAGGTGCATTATGCACGTCTGCGTGTTCACTTGGCCCATCCTTCTATCACGACATAGTTGCATGACACCAAGCAAACAGGGGCCTAGATTGGCTGCTAGAAAATGAAATATCTCTAGCATAGAGATAAGGTAGGGCAGAGGTTGCTGGAAGTATGCTCTTCTGCTTGGCGTGGAGGCGGATAGTAGATGTATCTGAAGGGCTGCATAATAGCCGATCCACTTTCGAGAGATTCACGACACAGTTTCTATTCGTCGACCTCCTCGTTGTTTCTCCTAGCTCTTCTTTCGGCTCTATCCATCTCGGTTCTGTGGCCTCTGAATCCTGTCAGAAGGCCCAAGTCATAAGTAGCTTTCAGACTACCGGCGACGACGAAAGTCACCCAAAATCTTCCAGATTGAGCCAACACGCCTGTGATCACAGGACCGCAGCTTTGACTGGCGGTTCTGACAACTGATATGAATCCCATAACAGCAGTTCTTTCACCAGGTTGTACTACTACCGAGAGGAATGCGGCTTTAGGCGCGATATCCATAGAGGCTAGCGATGAGCGTAGGAGCAGAAAGAAGATGGCTCCAGCTAGGGATGATGGCATCGGAATGAGGCAAAGAGCGATAGCGGATGGTAGATGTGTGAAGACCATAGTTTTAATGAGACCAATGCGTCGAGAGAGGGAGACGGCAACCAAAGATGATACTGAGGAGAGAATACCGGCCACGAAGAAGAGGGTCCCCAAATCACCCTCGTGGAGCTTGAATTTGAGATTGAAGAAGTAAGTGACCAAGGAACTAGATCGTAGTTAGCGACAGGGGTAGAAGCAATTCAAGAAACTTACGCTGGAACCAAGCCAGATGCCAAAGAATCCAGAGCAAATAACAAGCAAAGCTTGAAGAGAACAATCCGACTCTCTTTGCTAATCTTTGGCAGCAATGATCTCGTCTTCCCCTTCGCAATAGATATCTCGTTGCTAGAATCAGCGTCTGAGATCAGTGGCTCTTCCTCACCATCTGAATCTTTCTGATCCTCCTGCTCAGGAAGCTCAACCCTCGAGCTCAGGACGCAGGTCAACAGCAAGTTTAAGAATCCAAGTCCAGCATAGCCCAGAAACACTGCCTGATAAGAGTTCACTGGACTCCACCCTTGCCGACTTTGCAGTTCTTGCACAACCCAGCCAGTGGTCAGTTTTCCCAAGGCGTTTCCCGCTGAGCCAATAAGCACATACCAAGCGAAGATATCACTTCTGATCTCTGGCTTGGTGAGATGAGCGAGCGTTGATTCTTCAATGGCACTGAAAGGGCCAATTTCTCTCCCGCTGTCACACCATTGAATCAGACGAAATCAAAGATTAGATGAACAGGAAAAACATACTTCGGACTGATGACACCAAACACACTCGCAGCAAGCAGACACCAGAAATTCCCCGTGAAAGCAAACACGATTCCACTCATTACCATCAGTAGAGCTCCTCCTCCAAGCACGATCTTCCGTCCGACGCCATCAGCGAAGAGAGTGAGTCCGAAGCTAATCACATCCCCAACGAGAGTCAAGGACATGAACAACCCAATCTGTGAATCGGGGATGGCGATGGCGTGGAGGTAGAGAGCGAGCACGATCGTTGAGCCGCCGAATGCAAAGAATCGGATGAACCTTTGTAGAATCAGGATCTTGGTATCCCGAGGTGAGTTGTGAAGAGAGTGGAGGCCCAGCTCATGGAGGATGTGAAGGAGAGCCATGCTGAGAAGTGGGATGAAGTGAGCAATTGTGTTGAAATGTTCTTAACTTTCTATCCAAGAACCGAGAGGCGAACCAGGGTCAAAGACATGAAGAGCTCTGCTCGCGCTTCCTCGAAGTATTTATTATGTCTCAGCGAGGGAGGAAGTTGCGAGACTATCGACGTTTTAGTTCTTGGACCCCTTCGCCAAGTTTGGAGGCGGAAGGCGCACCGTAGGGCGATAAGGGGTGTTCTGGGCCAATCGCGGCTTCGCTGGATGTCGCGCTGAATCACTAAACTTCGGCCCCAAAAATTAAATTAGCCTACTGTAACAGTGGAGAAAGGGGCTGAGGGACTTGGCAAGACCGGAACACAAAACACAAACAGGGGTATCTTGCTTTTCTAGATGTTTGGCAACCATATGTATATCTTCAAGATCTGTATTTGGGCTTGCAAAATCAAAAAAGTGTATTGTGATCGTGGTTTGTATCACATCTGATTTTGGTGGAGTGGAACACTGAGAACCTCGACAAAAGCAGAGATGTGGATTCTGCCTCTGTTGGGTACAATAAACACTGCTCCAGAACACACTTTGATGAGCTCTTCCGCCAATCACGCTCCCCACCATTGTCTCCATTCTTCATGCATGGTGTCATGCACCTTGTTTGCTCTAATAATGGTCCTTAAACTGAAGTTTTGATCTCTTAGCCTTTGCCTTAGAGGACATTTTAAGAGGAAAGTCGTTATAGCCAAGGACTTCTCCAGCTCAAGAGAGAGCCAAGTATTTGAGGCCTTCTTGCTACTGGTGTCTTGATACCTAATTGTCGGATATTTGCGTGGAGGACAGCATATACAGCTATCGAGCACCTGCCATTTGCAAAGTCCCAGCCACACCCAGACATCTGCTAATATCGTAGATTGCCAATCAAGCTTGTAAGGTGATTGCGAAACGTCGAGCCTGATATCGAGACGTTGTAATTTCTGTGGCTTTGCAAAATGGTTCCAGAAAAGACTAGAAAGGAGAGTGGATGGGTCCCGAGTCTGGTCTTTCAAGGCAGAAATTGACAGACTTGCGACGTCTATTTGAAGGTGTTGGATATT